TCCCTCCCTCCCTCCCTCGCTCTGACAGCGGCTGTACGTCTGCCAGCCGAGCTCTGTGGAAGGAGCTCCCTGGCACTGCAGCCCCACTGGGGACACATTGACCCTCTCCTCTGCCCTGTCAATGAGCCTCTGTGTGCTCAATCTCCAGCTCCGAGACACCCCATTCTTCTATGACGAAGGAATTACGGATTGATGTCGATGTTGTACATTAGAAGCTGCTCTCGTACGTCTCTTTTTAGGCATTAAGTTTGGGTCGCCAGCTGTTTGGGTTCTGTCATTTGGTGGGTCGATCATCTCTTCGCTCCCTCCGCCTCGGCCGCACCTCTCCCGCCCCCTTCTGGTGCAGATTCATCGACACAAGTGTCCTGATGATTGGGTGAGGGGCGACTTCCCATGGAGTGCAGAGGTCAATTGTGTTGCAGTATTGGGTACTCAAGTACATCTGGAGAATGTTTCAGTAGGCCTTAGCTTGTACGTGTTTAACGTTATTAGCAGATGTTGGCATGTTGATCATACTAAAGAAGTGGTGAAAAGTAAATATTTACCTGCTAAGGACAGCTGTAGGATTGTTAGAGCATTTAACTTTAGATCAAGCTGTGCCCAAGGTCTGTGTGTAAATTGACAACTATTGGATATAATTCATAGTATGTTTTATTTGTGTTATACTGAAACATTGTTGTGCTTTCTTTACCTTAGAATGAGATATTGTGGGTGAGTGGTGAGTACACCATGTTGACGCCGGGTTTTACCAGTAGCCAGAACAAAAACACTACTCTGATAGGGCTTCACACTTTTCGCAAAAAATTCACTCTTCTCTCTCTCTCTGTCTCTTTGCTCCCCTCTCTGTCTTTTCAGTAATAATTCATTACATTAAGGCAAAGTGAGTTTATTTGTGTAGCACCTTTCAGCTCACCCTGACCCTCCCCTAACCTTTCAACAACCGTTTAAAGTGCTGCACGCTGTATGTCAGCGATAAGATGAGATATAAAACAAACAAAACACAATATGTAAAGACTCATAAATTAGAGATGTAATGTTTTGTTCATGTCACAAACAGTGTCTGGTTTCTTTGTACTATATGACTTTAAACTGGGATAATCAAATCATTTAAAGAAGTCGTCGTTGACATTTTATAGACGAGATGATTCATAGATTCGAGGAAATAATCAGCAGATGAATTGACAATAACAGTTAGTTGCAGCTGTTGATCGATCTCACAGTCCTGATGAAGCAGATTAACTTAAACACGGCAGACCTGAACGCTTCTGGGAGTTTGTGGTGCAAAACACGTTTTGACTCTGACTGCGGCGGCGATCTGAGAGGTCCGAACGCTTTATAGCAGCAGTTCAGAAACAGTTTTATCTTGAAAACATTTTTTTACCCGAGTTTCTTCTGTTGCGTGTGGTTGGTAGTTTGCCAAACATCTGTCTGAAGGACACAGAGTAGTGGGCGACCGATGGGTTTTCATTGGCTGATATATAACGCTGATATCAAAAGAAAGGAAAGTAATGTTTAATTCCATTATTCATTATGCACGTTAGAAACTAATATACACGGTTATATTAGCCAGTAACATGTTGTTTTAGATGCAGTGTTTAGTAATTAATGAAATAGAATAATAAATCAAGTACAGTCTTTTGGAAGTGACCTAACTCAAACATTTCATCCACTACACGTCCAGCTTCATTAGTTCTGTGATCTTAACAAACAAAACTAGATTTTAATCGTGGACTGCAGTCTACAAGAAACAAAGTAATGGGATTACTTCCAGCTATTGAATGTTTGTGTTCTTCCAACATCTTCCAAACTAGCTTCTGTGACTTGGTGACGTGCATGATTACAAAAAAATGAATCCAGTGATGTGATTGAATGTGAGGTCTTTCTGCTGTCGGACAGAAAACAGACATCAGAAGATGTCGGCCTGTCAGCCATAAATGTTTCTGTGTTTTATGAACCACCGGTTGTGTTTAAAGATCAGTTCTTTGACAGACAGGAAGCCGGTGCAAAGATGTGAGAACTGCAGTGATGTGTGATTAATAATGACTGAACCCCTTTCGTGCTCTTTGATCGGCTGCAGCAGGACTCGGATGCAGCGGTTGTTTTAGACGTGGAGGCCTGTTGGATTCTGGGTAAAACGAGCTTGGCTTGTTTTACGAGAGGCTTCTTTCTGGTGGCATTTTCAGCGAAGGCTCGTGACGTTCGCTCTGCACATGAAAGCAAACCACAGCGGCGGTTGCAGAACCACATTTTCATGTTATATTTAGCCTCACTTTTGTTGTCTTTCGGTCCACGCTGTAATTTCCATGTGAATGCAAACACACACAGACACACACACACACACACACACAGATGTGTGTTTCTCTGCTCCGCTGCCCGGAGCTTTAAGGTGCATTAGTGAAGAGAAAAGCTGGTATTTATAACCCCTGTTCGTTCCTGTATCCAAGGTCAAACGGATGGCTAATATCTGCTTCCGTTCTTAGATGGAGCTGCATTGATCAGCCCTCCATTATACGTGGAGATCTGGCTGTGTGCAGTCAATCACAGCTCAATAAGCTCCCTACACTGTGGATGGGGCTGCTCAGGTTTGTCAGTCAGCGTTCACAATCACACAGGCAGCGATGTTCGATAATCTTCCTGTAAGCGCTTTGCAAACAGCTCCGGTTACACAAGGCCCGGCACCTCTCTGCCGATTTCTGATGAAACTGTTAGCTATTGGACAGTTCCCAGTATCGAGTATTACACTCGGTGTTTGTGTGCGTAGTGTTTCTTTGAGTCTAGTGCTAATACGATAACCTGTAAGAAAGCCAATGAGATGCATTTTCTGACTGTAATGATTAATTTCATTATCGATTAAAATGTTGATTATTTTCTCAATTAATCGATTTATAGGTGAGAACAAGATTTGTAGGCCAGGGAACCTCTGCAGCTCTGCAGTACTTCATTATAACGCTCACATTTCACCTTTATCAAAGGTAAAAATCTAAATCTGCAGCCCAAATATATTCAGTTTTTGAGAAGCTGGAACCAGAGAAGGTTTGAAAAACCAAGGGCACAACATGTGGTGGTAGTGCTTCCACCACATCTTTGGTCTTGATTTCGAGGGGAATCCGGCGCGGCGGCCGGCATTAGGAATAACTATATAGGAAAGGTCAAGCCTCTCTCTGGTGGGCTTGTTCCTTTTATGTAGGTCAAATAGAGACATCAGTATTACATTGAGGCTGTTTCATAACCAGTTAAAGCTCCCTGAAAGGATAAGGCTGCATTTCTGTTATTGTTGATAAATCCCATAAAAAAGACCAAAACCAACAATGTGTTTGTTTCTAAATGCTTGGCTTTCTGCCCCGAGGTCATTCATTCCTGCTGAAGACGCACATCCTTAAAGCTGCTATAATCTATATTTATATACAAAGGATGGGTCACATGACGGTGGTCACTTGTGGTGGTGAACCCACAGGGAATTATCACCTGACTTTGTGGTTCCCTTCGGCTCTACTGAGCTTTTTTTTAGCCTGTTTCAGCTCATTGTTTTGTTTTTTTAAGGCACAACTTTAGGTTCATTCTCAGCGGAGCTCTAAGACACTGAGGAAGAAGATCCATGAGGCTTTAGATAATACTTGTTAGGAGGATCGATTCATTCCTAGTTTTGGTCTTTTTGTGGGATTTAATGTCAATAAAAAATACAGGATATCAATAGGAAACGTCTGTAAAAAGCATTTTCAAGTGCTAAAACATATTAGAATTGAAGTTGCACCCGCCGCCCTCTGGATATTTGAATGTTTTTGAATGCATTTACACACGCACTGTGGTTTGTTTGTGTGTCATCTGTCCAAGTCAGGAAAGCTGTAAACTGTGCCAGTTTCTGATTGGCCTCCAGCCACAGAATCAGGCTCGTCTCATCCCCTCTAATGACTCCTTAAGATGTGACAGTTGGATCTTGGTCCACGTCGACACACCTACTCCCCCCACCCCCTCGAGGCCCTTCGGCGCTCTAAACAAGCGGCACACGCACACCTGGAGTCATGCCTACTAGACTGGTACCCGGCCATATGTCCTGCGGCGTGGCGTGCTCGCAGACTCGGGCAGCCTGTGTGCTCAGCGTGGTGCTGCTGTTTGATCTGTGGATCCGGTGGAGCTGCAGACCTTAAAGCGGAGCAGTACGGACACAAAGGGCTTATCGTTCTATGCAGGTCGTGTATCTGAAACAATGCGGGATGGATGGATTAATGTGTTTGCTCAGTAATCCCCAATATAGAGTGCTGTAGGTGCCGTGACGTGGAGTCAACAGCGAGCTCCGCGGCATGGTCTCTGTAGATGTGGACCGTGCGTGTTTGTGCTGAAGTGGTGCTGAAACGAAATGTTGTGGCCGTCAGATAAACAGAGTATAAACAGAGTGTAACAATGTTAACGTCAGTGTCTGATGAGAAGCAGACCTCAGTTAACTGGCATCCCCGGTGTTTGTTTTGGTTTGCTTGGAGAGGCAGACGGGTGGGGTTTACTGCAGCGGGACAAATCAAATACAGTCAGCTGGACCTGAAAGGATTAATCCACAGAAGTGATGCAAATACGCCAAACAGTTGCTGCTTTTTCTCTGTTTTATATCATTGTGAATGAAAGATCTTTAGGGTTCTTTGGACTGTTTGTTGGACATTTAAAGATGCCACCTTGTGCTCTGAGAACTTAAAGGTCCAGTGTGAAACATTGAGGAGAATCTAGTGTCAGAAAAAGAATATAATATTCATAGGTATGTTTTCATTAGTGTATAATCACCTGAATGTAAGAATCATTATGTTTTTGTTACGTTAGAACGAGACATTTTTATCTACAGTAGCCCATAACGGACAAACCAAACACTAAATAGGGCCTTTTGCATTTTATGCCACCGTAGTTTCTCCTCCACACTTCACCGCCTGTTTCGATTCCCAGGGTCAAATACAGACGCGAGCAGTGTTCAGTTAGTCCTACACACTGGACCTTTTAACCTTCAGCATTTAAACAATTTGTGACATTGTTCTTGGCACAAGAATCCCTCAATCAGCTATTTTAACATTTCCCAGCGGTGGATGTGAGGAATATATCCTCACATCCCCCAACTTTTCCAGTTTCCTCTGAACATCGTCCTCTTACTGTTCACCAGACTAACACTGAGATGAGAGAAGCTCTGATTTCATTAAGTTGTTGTTACTGTGTGCTCAAAGCAATGAGCTTCACAGGCAGCAGAGAGTGCTTAGTGGGCTCATTTTGCCCTGGGCTTCACCTCTCAGGCTACATAAAGGCCCCTCTATGTGTTTGTTGTGTTTGCTGGAGGTTGTTGGGCCATAATTAGAAAACTAATTTAAAGGTCCAGTGTGAAACATTGAGGAGGATCTATTGGCAGAAATGTGATATGATAATCATAGGTATGTTTTTATTTGTGTATAATCACCTGAAAACATGAATCATTGTGCGTTTGTTACCTTAGAATGAGTTGTTTTATATCCACCATGTTTCAACAGTAGCCCAGAAGGGACAAACCAAACTAGCTCCAAATAGGGCCTTTTTAGTGTTTTTCACCAGTTTCACAGCCACTGTAGTTACAGTTGTTGAACCCTAACTTCACTGCTTAATACCTCTAAATCCTAAACTCTGGTTCTTTAAGTTTATAAGATAAAACTTTTCTTGAATGACTCCTGAAACACTAAAAAGAAGGATCGATATCTTTGTTTCAACCCTTCACATTACTGAAACTAGTCCATCACTTTGTTCCAAACACGAGGTCGCTGCTTCGATGGGTCTTTGTGCCATGAAGACCTTTTTCACAGCAGCCATTTTGACATCAAATAGTAAGGTTGTGTGTCGCAGTTAGTTTCTCCTTCACGCTGGGAAGACGAGGTAGAAGCCTAAATCCTACACGCTGGGACTTAATGTCAGTAATGTGCGGTTACCTTCCAGAGCGACTGGCGTTCATTAATGTGCTTTATTCAGAGAGTCTGACGGCTGCGGTGTCGCCTCCTGTGTTTCAGATGAGAACAATGTCTGATGAGACAGAACAGAGAATGTGTGACGAGGACTTCGGTTCGGACGAGGAGGGCGAGGAGGGAGACGTGGAGTCTTACCTGGAGGACAACAGCAGCGAGCTCGTGGACCGACTGAGAGAGCTGGAGGTGAGAAAACAAAGAAAACTCACTGTATGCCACTTCCCTCAGTGTTCATGGTGCAGGAGGTTTATACTGGGAGCCCAGTTATCCACAGAGGAAGCTTTTTTACTAGCTGATTTTATTTGTTTGTTGTTAGACCAATGCAGCTATATTTTTATATATAAACTAAATAACTATTGCCTGCAATGTGTTTTATTGTTATTTACCTTTTCCTCACAGGCTGAAAACTCTGCTCTGATGTTGGCAAATGAGAGTCAGAGAGAAGCTTATGAGAGATGCTTGGATGAGGTGAGTTCATGATGCAGAATATTCTGCTCGGATACGTTATTCCAGGAGGAAAATATGTGAAATATATAATACAAATATAATGTTTTCTTGTGTTTATTAGGTGGCCAACCACGTAGTCCAAGCTCTGCTAAATCAGAAGGTAACACAATGCCCCATTTCTGCATCTGTGTGTGGATTTTAAACTGTAGCGTCACAAACTGAAGTCAGTTATCTTACTCTGTGTGTGTGTTTGAACAGGATCTGAGAGAGGAGTGCATCAAGCTGAAGATGTTGGTGTTTGACCTGGAGAGACAGAACAGAGCGCTTTGTGAGCTCTTTCAGCAGAAACTGCCCAACCACCCCACTGCTCACTACCAGGTAAACCGACTTCCTCTGCAGCGATCCATGAATGCGTTTCATACATTCTCACCTTCCTCCACTTCCTGCAACAGACAGAGGAAGTTTTTCATAGCTCTAAGAACAGTTGGAGGACTTATTTTTGTGTCCACACTGCAGGAACTAGGAATGAAAACGCTCAAGTTTACAGTGTTTTTTTACTTTGGACTGTTTGCTGTTTTTCCTCTGAAAATATTTTGTTTTCCCGCCATAAAACTATAATAAGATAACGTTAAAGTTAGTGTTCTTCTCTCAGCCTCGATAATATGAAGTACTGCCAGTTGTCGCAGGGGTTTCCCTCATTTTTAGCTCCCCTTCAGTTTGCCCTTTCATAACCCCACGACACAACAACCAACACGCAGCTCCGACCACGGCGCCCTCCACCTTGTTGTATTGTTGTCATAGATGTTGTGTAGAAGTGATGTTGCTGTACGAGAACCGCCAGCCGGCTTATCGTTCCTAGTGGCTTTGCGAATGCAAACAGGAAAAAAAAAAAGCCCTCGAAGGTGTCTCGGGGGAGGGGGGAGCTCTAGAGAACGGTTACTGAAAGGCAAAATCCTCTGATGTTACACATCAAAGTTTACAGTAGTTGGTGAGTGTTACTGCATATGTGAAAAAGTTTGTGGCTCCACAGGGAGCTGCATGGAGTCTGATAAATGTCAGCGTCAGCTGGAGCTGAAGGAGCCGTTAGAGGGACTGTAATAAATACAAATGCAGATCCCATCGCTCTGGTTGAACAATGAACAGTAAGCTTTCTTAAAATTATCCTAAATTAAATCATATCGCCTTGCTGACAGTATTGCGACATATTGAACTGTAACTCCTGTATCCCGTATCCCGTATTGTCTTATTGTTGCTGATACACAGCCTTAGCCACGCCTGGTAGATTTTGACTGTGAGTCCTTGGTTTGATTCCAACCCGGGGCCTTTTCTGCATGTCATCCCCTCCCTCTCTGCCCTGCCTCTCTCTCCCTCCAGCTATCACTATCTAATAAAACAGAAATACAGAAAAATATACAATATTTGCTGTGGAGTAGAAGCATAAATAAGCATTAAATGGAAATACTCAAATAAAGCATTTCAAAAATGTACTCAAGTACAGTCACAGCTACAAGTACACAGCTCTGATTCTCAAGCCCAGATGGAGCTGCTCATTTCTTCCCTCATTCTTTCAAACGCTGGCAAGCCAGTAATGGATCTCAGTCTTTTCACTTCTGCTCTATATTGTTCCAACAGATGCCGGGACAATGTAGCTCCTAGTTGTCTGTGTATACAATAGCCTGTAGTGTATACAGTGTCATCATAATTGCCTCATGAATCTTCTGTTACAGGTCCAGGCAGGACCACTCCCAGACTACAATGCACAGCTGCACAATGACTCTGCCAAACAGGTGGAGCCGGCACAGACTGAAGCACAAGCCAAGGTGATTATTACAAAGCCCACGCAGCAAAGCTTTACCAAACATTAAGAGTGAAACAGCGGGGTTATGTCATAGCCTCTGAATCAGTCCCCACCTGTGTGTGACATGTTCTGACATTTGTTCTGTTTTACACTATTGTGCTTTAAAAAGACCTCTGCAGCTAATCTACACTGCACTCATTTCCTGTACGCACACGCTCTAAAGGTCCGTAGGAGCTGAATTGTTTGGCTCTCAGTGAATTGTATGCTGATAGAGATCTCTTTCTTCCCAAAGGGAAATGGCTACCGCACACAACATGCCTCCCCGGGCCCTCGTGGCCCTGCCGCCTCCATGGAGGCCCTGTCTCCCTTCTTCAAGAAGAAAGCACACATCCTGGAGGTCCTCCGCAAGATGGAGGAGACGGACCCTCTGAAGTTCCACCCGTCCACCACGAGCTTGTCTTTCTGCGACTACAGCCAGGTGCTCATGTCCACAGAGGCTGTCCTCGCCACTGCGGACCCCCTCCCGCTACAGTGCAAAACCCACCACACACACTGCCACTGCTCCTGCTCTGACGCTGACACACACCAGCATGTCAACGGCGACGGGGCGGTGAAGTGTGAGGCTGGGAACACCTGCTGTTTACACTGCAAGAGGAGCCCAGACAGTCCTCCGAAGCCATGCAACCACGTCTGTAGTCCTTTAAAAGCCAACTCCGCCACCCAGAGCCATGTAGTTCCTGCAGCTGCTATAAGCGAATGTCACAGTAAGAGCAGAACGGTGGAGTCTGTTTCCCCGTCTAAACAATGCACCAAGAATGAAGCCCACCAGCAACCAGCAGGCGCCACCGCCCACTCCTCAATCACAGAAACCACAGAGCAGAGCCTGGAGGTGATGGGAGGGGAGCAAGAGCAGGATATCTCTGAGAGTCTTAACGCTGCTGCCCCTGAAGAGCTCACTGGGTTCAGTTCTGTGAAGGACAGCGCACAGATCTCCCACTGTGACATAGAGACAAGCGATGGCGTTCACAACGGCTTAGCCTCCATCAACGCCATGTCGAATGACCCCTCAGCCGTCCCCGAGAAAGACAGCACAGATCAGGAGGCTTCCTCTGTGAGAGCCGGAGCCTCCGTCAGCCCCAGCCCCTCCTGCCTCAGCGACGTCAAAGCCGCCGCCATCAACTCCCCGTCCAAACTGCTCAAGTTCCTGAAGATAGGCGAGAAGTCTCAGGCTTCAACCGCCGCTGTCCGTCTGAGCCCCCAGCTCACCCGCAGCTCCAGGATCCCCTGTCGCACAAACAACTACGAGGTGTACCACTCGCCTGTTCCCACACGCAGAGCCACCACCACAGAGAGGTGCCGGCAGCCCCCGCCGCCGCCCTCCAGGTCCGAGTCGTACCCCGCCACACACTCGGCCCCAACCTCCCCTCCGCAGCCTGAAGACGTCTGCTCCCCGCCCTCTAAGGAAATAAGCTACAGCAGCCTCTCTGCACCTAAAGCCAGCGCTGGCTCCAAGGTTGGCGCTCCCTCCTCCTCGCCGAAAGTATCTCAGAGGGTCCCTCATTATGAAAACGTCTGTAATATGTCCACAAGCTCTAGAGAGGAGGAGCCAACCCAGGGCCTCGAGAAAAGAACCACACTTCCATCCCAAACAAAGGCCAACGGTGGTGAAAGGAAGCTCGTTAAATCGCTACCAGAAAGTGTCCTCAACCCCCCTCCTCAGCGAAAGCAGTCGTCTTCGTCCACGTCGGAGTCCACATCAGACGATGAAGAGGATTCAGACAGCCCAGTGTGGGTTAACCATCACAGCCTGCCCAACTCTGCCCTCAGCAAGGCTCAGGGCAGAGTTAACTACTCCCAACCCAGAGAGAAACAGGAGGCCGATGTAAGGGAGATCACTGTGCAGAGCTCAGGGGCTGCCCAGCCGCTGCCGCCTCCTCCTCCCGTTAGGAGGAGCGACTCCTCTTCCATCCCCAAGAGGCCTGCGGCCGGGGTGGTGAGACCCCCGGCCGATTCCAGTCACCACGCTTTCAAAGACAGGCTGGCTGCGCTGGGCAAGCTGAGGAGCTCTGAGGATTTACAAGTCGGTCTCCGGCCGGTGGACGCGGTCAATGAGGGCACCTACGGGGAAGAAAGGAGTAAGACAGCGGAGAGGCCCGTGGAGCTCCATAAGGAGGAGCAGAGACATTCAAAATACACAGACTCTTTGGATGGTAAAGTAAAAGGTGGTGGTGGTTTGAAGTACCCGGGGGCGTCGCATGCGTACGAACAGGCAGTAAAATCTCAGCCGCCGGTTCCAGCGGTGGTCAAACAAGAACTGTGTGTGACCAAGACTGAAGGCTCCAAGAGCAAAATAGGTCTGCCGTCCCCCAACGCAGATGCTCCGCAGGTACTACGCAACAACATCAAGTGTCCTGGCTCCCTGAATCTGTCCTACAACCTTAAACCAGGTGTCGGTCCTCACAGTAGCAACAGCCCCAACAAAATCCCCCCAAAGTCGCCGTCCAAACCCTGCCAGGGTCCGTCCGTGCACAGAGGGGGGAAGCCCGCCGAGGCCCCGCGTTACTCGTCCAAATCAGAGGAGAGGACCAAGATCAGCGGGAAAGGGAAGAAGAATCCGATGTATGGAGACAGCCTGCCGCCTCCTCCCCCGAGACCTCCCATGTCTGAGGGGGAGAAGCCGCTGCAGCCGGTCCCCAGCCCGCAATCCGCCATCGAGCAGAAGGTGATGAAGGGCATCGAGGAGAACATGCTGAAGCTGCAGGAGCAGGACAGAGGAGGGCAGAGCAGCGAGGTGAAGCAGAAAGCCTCCAACGGCATCGCGAGCTGGTTCGGCCTGAAGAAGAGCAAACTGCCCGCGCTGAGCCGCAAGGCCGACGCGACCAAAGCAAAAGACGAGAAGAAGGAGTGGAAGATAAACATCCCCTCGGTGGGCAGGGACTCTGTGAAAATGGCCACCAGGTGTAAAGAAGGAGTGGAAGGTCTGAACATCTCGACTCTGATGGAGAAGGCGGAGGGGCTGAGGAGGGCCCTGGAGGAGGAGCGGGCGTACGTGGAGAGGTCGGGCAGGGGTCACTCCTGTGAGGTGGTGATGGACCAAGCTCAGGGACAGCTGGCTGTCATGTACAGAGGAGCTCGCTCGGACAACTTCATGCAGCAGCTGCTGAACAGGTGAGACTGTAAGGGTGGTAGTAATAACGGCTCGCAGCTTTAAAGGAATAGTTTGACACTTTGGGGAAAAGGCTTATTTCACTTTCATGTGATTGTTTAAGTCACTTTAAAAGCAGAAGTGTCCAAATTTGTCCGTTTTTTTTTGTTTTCTATGATTTTAAACTTAATATCTTCTGGTTTTGCACTGGAGAACAAGACATGACCTTTTTCACTGTTTTCGAACATTTAATGAAGCAAAGGATGAATGAAGAATTAATAACTCTCTCATTAGCTGTGACTCTAAAACAGATCAATAAAATGTGCAGTAATAAAAGTAATCAGCACTCCTTACAACACAAACAAAAGTCATCTATTTAACATTGTATTTAACAACATGTTAATATTCCAGTAGCCAAGGTGGTTGCTATGAAGCTACAGCAAGAAGACTGTTAGCTTAGCATAGCATAATGACTGTAAACAGGGAGGAACAGCTAGCCTGTAGTGATTCTAGGTGAACTTCTGGCCTCTGGCACGTCTACACGCTTCCATCCTGTTATTAATGATCAGACTTACATTTGTGGTTGTGGTTGCTGATTGTTAATTGTACGTTGTACTACCTCTTCTTTTAATAATTGGTTATAATAATGGGTTGGAAGAGGAAGTTTTCTGTAAAACAAAATAAATTCTACTTGATTTAAAGAGTTATTTACGCTGCGCTGAGGCCGCAGTGGAAAAATCAGCTGTGGTGAGTGTCTCATAAAGACAGACCACCATTGTGAACAAGTCCTGTCTTAAAACTCCTGGAAAATGTCCTGGAAAAGTCCTTGAAAGTGGAAACCCTGATTTATCGCACATACAATGTCCATCAAGTGTGTTTCCCACAGTGAACTATCATTTTAAAGGACACTAACTTTATTTCTGACGTCTGTTTGATAAATGTAGAGTGGACGGGAAGGACGTGATCAGCGTGCCCCAGCGTCGGCTCTCGTTCGACTGCAAGTCGTCCAAACCGGTGTTCAGTCAGCAGAGCGACCTCATCAGTCACACCAGCAGCCGCGACGATATGGAGAAGGTTGGTTACTGACACTATTTCTACATTTACAATGGCGCTAAAGCAAACTGACGGCGAGAAAAAACACGACTCACTTTCATTTAATGCTCTCAGGTCTCAGTAGATTTTGTTCTACATCGCACCGACTTTCAACCCAAACTCGGCTTCTAATTTGTTAGTTTCCTTCATACCGATGTGAAGAGCTGAGTCTAACGTTCACTCCTCCGTCTGCCGCTCTGTTGTTCTTTTCATGCAGGTATCAGACAGACTCGGCAAGATCACGTCAGATGAAAACCTCGCAGATTCGGTTCACTCTCAGCACTTCGCAGGTAAGACGAGTCTGCCGGGAGAGAAGTCTCACACATCTTTTTAAGTCTCCCGACTATGTGGGAGATCAAACCAGACTTATGTGGAACTAGTCTGGAAATAGATGAATGAATGTATAAAGAATTTCACAGAGAGAGCGAGAAGTAAGGAAATTACTCAGATAAAGCAACATGACTTAGAGTTGTCTGTTTAAACATTTATTTCCACATCAGTCCCTCACTGAATCCCTCTTCCCTCCTTCCTCTGCAGGTTCTGGTGCGTCCACGTACACCCTGGACAGCGGCATCGGTACGTTCCCCCTGCCTGACTGCAGCAGCGGCGCAGCGGGACGCAGCCTGTCCAAGACGAGGGCCGGAGCCGAGCACCACTCCTCCGGCTCCCCGGGGAGGGCCGGGCGACGGGCACGCACCCTGGAGAGAGAGCTGACGTCCCAGGAGGAGTGCTACGTCCCTCACAAACAGCTGATCCCCACCATTCAGTACGGCTCCATGCTGGAGGGGAGGAGCTCCGCCGCCGTCATCCGCGAAGGTGACAACAGGCCGCCTCACTCACACGAGTGAAACCATGCTGCGTTGGAGCTTTTGACTGAATCTCTGTGGTTTAAAGTTTAGATTTTTTCCTGTTTGTACGTTCAGATTTTTATTTTACAGTTTCATGTTCGCTTTCCGCTGTATTGGAGTCGCGTTAAGTCACTGCGGAGGAAAACTGACTGTGCTACTTCATAATAAAAGCTTTTAAATAATAAAATAGCCAGGTATTTTTATTATGAAGGAAATTCACTGTGTTTATTGCCTCATTAGCGGAGCTTAAGTTTAAGTACTGGAGGAAGGTGAAGGTGGCCCAATCAGAAAGTAAAGTTGTATTTATTTGATCCACTGCTTTGTTCTCGCTGACGTCGGACCTTCTCTTCATTCCTTTTGGAGCCCTCTCGACCCTCGCTGCTCTCTCTCTTGCCAGTGATTTTATAATGAACCAAAGTTTAAGGAACTAGAAAAGTTTAACCCTCCACAAACTCCTGCTGATGAAGATTCTGTTCAGTAAATAACAATAAGGGGAAGAGAAATGAAAACGTGTCTTTAATCCATCTGCAGACAAAGAGGCTCACGGGGCGAACATGTTTTCCCCTCGCTCGAAGACTTGGACCTTCCCCAACCTGAAGACTCCGGCAGGACCTGCGGAGGTTTACCTGGCAGTGGAGGAGGAAGAGGAGGAGCCGGTGCCCTTCGGATCACCGTTCAGAGGGGTAGGGATGGCAGTCAAATCCCAACACACAACAATACAGAGACACACAGGAGGAACAGTTATACAGTTACACTAATGTTCATTAGGGATGTCTGATAATTATCAGGGCAGATACATTATGTTTATTATTATGAATTAATTAAATTACAGCCAGTAAATTACTAGTAATTATGTACAATGATTGATAGGCTTTATGTTCTATAAAAGTATGTTT